TTACAAACATATTCCTCGACCATTCTTGTGATGGTCATGAATTTCGTAAAAGTTGTCCTTGGTGGTCGACAACGGGCTAGTGTTATCTTATTACCCGATATAGGCCAAGAGACCACTAAGACCCTACTTGAAAGAAACTAAGCTAAAAGTAGTAGATTAGGAATGGTGTTAGTTACATGTGAATTGCATCTTTGATTATGATCATATCTATACTTAAACTTATAATTACTAGTATTAAAATGATTATGAAAATGGTTTTGGAAATGATTGTGATACAAGGAAATGATTTTTAAAAAGCTTTTCAAATGTTTATTTTTGGTAATCAAGACTTAGGAGCTGAGTTATTGGCATTACCAAATTCCATTCTATAGTCTGATATTACTTACTACGCTTGCTTCTGAAACCTAAGATATTATTTTGACATGTCACTACAAAAACTATGTCATTTAGTGGCACACAAAAAGTGCCACTAAAACCCAAAAAATGTCACTAACGGCTTTTCAGAGAATGAGTGGCACATATAATAAGTGTCACTAGAAACGCTTCCACTAAAACCCTTTAGTGACGCTTATTTCTTTTGTCGCTGTGGTTTTTAAGGCTTTTGTGGCATATTTTAATTTGTCACGTAGAATATTTTTTTGTGGCATATATTTTGTGCTGGTAAATACTAATTCAATTTTAGAATTTATGTTATTTTAGTGGCACTTTTTAATTGCCACAATACAATAAAAGTTTGTGGCATATATTTTGTGCCATTACATATTAATGTGATTCTAACATTATACTACTAACAGTGACATATTTTTTATCTATGATATAAAATAAAAAAGCTAATTAAAATATGATCCATAGAAAATAATAAAAATTTCACTATTTTACATTGATGCCAAATATGTTTAAATGTCAATCATATAGACATTAAATATATATAAAAAACTAAAAAAGTAACAAAAAAAAAACTTTACAATTCATTGCATTTGAACTTCTTCCCCAAACTTCATATAATTTTGTAAACTTTGAGTTTGCAGCTCGAGTGATCCCAAGATGATTAGCATTGAATCCACCACTCAATAAAGCAACCTGCATAAATTGTTTTTTAATAATTAAACATCAAAAGAAGCTATGGAAAGATAAGTATTTTAAAATAAGCCACAAATGGAAAATGAATGCTAACTTACCTGTGGCTTACTTTGTTCAAGTTCTTGTTCAAGATGAAGCAGATTCAAACGACTAACTTCTACCGAACATATAGGCCTAATAACAAAATGCAATGTTCATAATAAGTTGTTAAATGAAAGCATACTAAAAAAATAATAATTTTATGCATATTTTTGTATAACTAGATGATAGTTTAAATTTCATAGTTTTTAGAATTCGAAATTGAAAATGATTGTGATTTCTCTTTCACATCCCCTACCTTTTTCCACAAACGACTTTTACGAGGTTCTTCACCATTTTGTGCAAGACATCTTTAAACATGTAAAGTAAACTTTAGTTATTAATTGTAACTAAAAATATAAAATGGTAAATAAAGTAGAATATCATGACTTCTAATATCGGTTAATAGCAAGGCTAGTCATTAGCATATTGTACCTTATCACATGGTTTACTTGCTTCTTGATCGAAAAGATTGGAAGGTCCAGTTGTTGTGTATCAAGCATTCTCCGATTAAAAACACAACAATATACATTCTTTTTTTAAGAAAAGCAATAAAAAAATTATGAGGATAACAAGAAAGATGAGCATTTTAAATGATTACATGGTTGTTTAGCTTTGCATCCATCCCTATAATGACAACATATGCATCCTGATAGATATTGCCTTTGAAATCTCCCCACATGCTAAACTGATGTATAAGATCATCTACATCCATCCTCTTTGAGTTGAGATACTGATTAGATGAGGAATTCATGGTAAAGTTAGTCCTCTGAATATGCAACTATAAGCTTAAACTTCGGCATAACATGATCACCAATAAAGAAAAAACTATAAGAATGGAAGTAAAAACAATCATACATGTTAGTTATTAATATGGACTTATGGAGGGTTTATGGCTTAAACCATCACACTTTCAGATGGTTTTTATAAAGGTAAATCCCATTCCTTCAGCTGCTTTTCACTCTACATTAAGTGTTTTCTGAATATCTCCCTGCAATAACAATAAACAAGTTAAATTTAATAATAAACTCACTGCATGTGATGCATAATAGAGAATAAATATTCATGGAATATTGTTCCATGAATGAATAATGGTGTAGCATTTGGCCCATAACGACCTATGACTCGACCTTATTTATCCACTAGAAACTTAGTGAAGTTCCATTTGATGCTAGACCCAATAAACCCTCCCTTTTCTTTTCTTTAGGAAACTTGTACACAGGTGATGCTTTTGGTCTATTAACACAAATCTTTAACAAAGAAACAACTAACTATATACATTTTCACCCTTCAAACTTCAGTTCATTTATGAAAATGAGTTATTTATGGTTCAAAAAACATGTATGTTTTGTAAGTGTGACAAAAAACCGACCTTCTGGAAGATGGGATATATGGCATTAAACCTTGTGCATGCAAATTCTTCCATTTACTCGCTAGATCCTGCTTTTGTTTCAAGAACTGATTGCAAGGATATGCTAAGATCTCCAGACCTGGTCATAGATATGTAGTAACACATATTTTTATTTTGATTATATTCTAACTCACAAATTAATATATTGTTGCTAATGGAAAACCATTTCGGACACTATCATTTCTTTTTTTGAGATTGGCTTCACAATGAGAAATGATCAGACAAGATTCGTTGAGCTTGATAGACAGATAACTAGGTATCCACAACATGCTTAATTTATTGTCTATAATTACGATCTATGATTATCTAGAGGGAAGATAAATGGATGCATAATATGATATTGTATTGACGAAATTACTAATAAGATAAATATAAAATTAGGTATCTTTTTTTAGAAAGGAAGTGATAGAATTAGGTATCTATTCTTTAAAGTTTGAACTAATCAAGTGATTTTCTGGTTATCTAATATTGATTATTCACTTCAATTTAAAGTCTCGTATCCAAACAACGTTCTCTTCTGGTTGAGATAATCAATTTCGATGGTTAGAGTGAAGAAAAGAATACCTCATTGAAATCGAGCAGAGAATAGATGGAGATTCCTTGTGCGGAGTCTAAATTTCTAGTGTATAGTGGAGGATAGTATCACAATCGTGTAGCGTAGCAACGTTGGTGTTGTGATATCGGAGATGGAAGTAGTGAGCGGCAATGGCGGTATCGAGGTGGTGTTAGGTATGTGAGCATATGAGAGAGAAAGAGAGTGACGAAATTAGGGTAAAAAAACAATTAGTCTCTGCTCTCTGAGAACTACAAAGTAAAAGGGGACATGTATAAGAAATGGGGAAATGTTAAATTTCATATATACTTTTTAGCTAAAAACTGATTCATTATTGAAAAAGGGATAAGAATAAGTTCAATCTTTTTAGTGGCACAAAAACAAATTAGTAAAACCGCACAATAAAAGTTTAGTGACATATAAAAAATATATGACAAAAAAATATGAAGTTTTTAGTAGCATTTTAAATTTTTATGTCATTAATAAGATTTAATATTAGTGACATAAATTTTTAAATGTTATTAAATATATTAAACTTATAATGACATATAAATTATACCACTAGTTGAATAAAAAATATGTCATTAAAAATGTATGCCACTAAATGGTATTTTATTATAGTGTGTACTCACAGATTAAGTTGAGAATGTGGTTTGATTTATTGGATATTTGATCTGTATGGTTCATCATTTTTCAAAGCCATGATCTATATGATTAATCGTTTTTCAATTAAATGTTTGATTTTAAGCCGACTATATCATAAATATACTTCCATTAAGCTATGTTTATTTAACTTTTTATTAGAATTTATTAAAAGACCAAATATTTTTCAAGTTGATCTGATATGTCAATACGAAAATGAAATGTATATTTTCTTTACATAACAATTTTTTTTATTAGTTCAAAATGTTCCATTCCAAACTTGTTTATTATTTTTAGAAAATGAAATATAAATTAATTGAAATGACTCGAAATGATCTATAATTTTCAGTTATGATAATTCTAGGATGACCCGTTCCGAGTAGGGGTGTAATTGAGCCGAACTACTCGTGAGCTACTCGAGATCGACTCGTTAAAAACTCGACTCGAGATCGAATTAAACGAGCCTGAGCCAGAGCCTAAACATAAGGCTCGTTTATTAAACGAGCTCGAGCCGAGCTTCAATTAATGGGCTCGCGAGCCTAAACAAGCTTAAATGAGCATATATATATATATATATATATATATATATATATATATATATATATATATATATATATATATATATATATATATGTGTGTGTGTGTGTGTGTGTGTGTATGTATATATATATACACACACATACATATATATATATATATATATATAAACACACACACACATACACATACATATATATAGAGGCTCGTTTATGTTTGATTAGGCTCGCGGGCCCACTAAATTGTTCACGAACCGAGCTCGAGCTTCATTTTAAATCTCGAATCGAGATCGAGCTCGAGCTCGAACTTCCTCAAAATTAAACGAGCCGAGCTCGAGCTTGGTCAAACTCGGGCTCGACTCGGCTCATTTACACCTAGTTCCGAGTATTTTCTTTGTTCTTTTTAGAAATCCCGAATTTCGAGATTCAGATATGTCAAAGTTATCTATAATTTTCAATTATATGATAATTTCCCGATAACCTTAAAATTCATAAAAGTACTAAATTCTCTGGAAAAAATCTAAAAAATGCATCCCACACGTGTTGCTCAGAGGGGAGTCGGTGTAGTAAACCAACAATCCAAATCATTAAATATTGGACGATTCAATATTGGTGGGCGTAAAACAAACTCATACCAAGTGCAAACTCCATTCAGAGCAGCCTATAAATACGTATCGCAAGAAGATAAACATTTCATCCATACACAACCATCAATTTTCTTGAACGCAAAAAGAAAAATTGTCAAACATTTTACTTGAAGCTACAAGAATGACTCTCTTTAATATTGATGTTGAAATCCAATCCACGGTTCCTGCTCCTAAGCTTTTCAAGGCTTACCATGACTTCGATAAGCTCGCACACAAGGTCGATCCTGAAACATATAAATCAGTTGAAATTATCAAAGGTGATGGAGGCCCTGGAACTGTCAGGAATATCACTTTTGGCGATGGTTAGTAAGCTTTATGCATTTAATTTCTATATACGCCCTTGTTCATTGTCATCAAGAAAAGAAGTCTTTGGAGACCCAAATTCTCTCAAGAATACCCCTTATTTATTTCGGATGTCTACTCTTTATGGTAGGATTAAACATATATATAAGTAAAGTTTTCTCGTTCATGATGCAGGTCTTCCATTTACGAGTGGAAAATCTAAGATTGATACTATTGACGAAGAAAACCTTAGTCTAAGCTACACGATCTTCGAAGGAGACGTTTTGACGGATGTATTAGACTCTGCCACTCATCATGTAAAGTTTATACCTTCAGCTGATGGGGGATCCACGTACAAACATACCATTGTGAATAAATGCAAAGGCGATAATAAGCTCACAGATGATCAGGTCAAGCTTACAAAAGAATCTTTTACTAAAACTTTTAAGGCGGTGGAGGCCCATATCAATGCCAATCCTAATGCTTACTGATTTATCGATCTCGAATGAAGGTGTTCTGTCTTGAGGTATCGATGGAGGTGTTTTATGTTGCATGTTTTGGACTAGTTCCTTCTCTTTTGCCAAAAATAAATGGACTTTAGTCCTGTTGTGTTCTACATCTGCTGTACTATGTTTCTTTATCATATCATAAAAGGCCATTAGTTATATATTTGGGTCACATATTGAATAATCTTGTACTTGGGGACGAAATCAGTAATTTTCGGTAGCCAAAAAATATTTTACGATGTGTGAACAACTACTTAGATTCCTTCTTTTTGTAAAAAATATTTGAAGGAAAGTGAAAGCTTACATTGTATGAACTGATGGTTATGAATAAATTTATAAATAAAAAAGAAAAAAAAATTGAAAGCATAATATCTATCTTTTATCTATCTATGCTAGATACTGAAATGTTCGATAGATACCATCATAATTCCATTTTATTTGGTGTAACACCAAAAATTGTAATCTACCCAACTATGGCAATGTTGGCCAAATAGAAAGAAATTCACCGGCATAATCTAGTAAACATTTGAATGTATAATATCTTAATAAGAAAAATAATGGAGGTTCAGTGCTATAATTGGATAGATTTTTTAATCGTATTGTGTCAACAAAAAATATTAGAGGTACAATGACATAGAAGAAAGAAATAGAAGTGAGGTACAATGATATAGAAGAAAGAAATAGAAGTGAGATGTTATAATACACATACCAACGAAATTTAGTGTTGTAAACCTCGCCGAGTTGGCCGATTAGTCGGCCGAGTACGTACTCCTTATTCGACCTACTATCGAGTTGAGTTATAGAATCTGAATACTCCCCAATCGGTTTTTTACTGAAGGAGCAGTGTTGTAAAACTCGTCAAACTCGATGAATAATATATATAATATGTTTAATGATAGTTATTCAATAAGTAAAATTATTGTGTGTTTTTCAGTTTTTGTGTATTCTCAGTTATCTAATTTTGATATATATTTTAATAAACTTATGATTTTAAATTATGATTCTGACATATATAATTTCCTTAAAACTATTTCTACATAAATTACGAAATCCGAGTACTCCCTTAGTACTCCTCCCGAGTACTCGCTACTCAGCAGTCGGCCGAGCTAATACCGAGTTCTACAACCTTGATGAAATTATGTTGCTACTTTTTGAACTCGGTCCTTCTTTATAAGGTTAAATATAAGAAATAACAATGCACTTTTAGTTATTTGTTTATTATAGCATCCATGTTTCATTTCATCACATTATAAAATTTAAAAAACAATTAATTACATTCGACAATATAAGTAGATAGAATTGAACTTACCTTTACTGAAAAGATTGCCTTGATGACTTGAGTGCCTCATTCTTGATGGTTCAATTAGACAAAAAGATCTTCAAAGTCTCACTTATGATGGATGAAAGCTAACTATGGAGGAATCCCGAAATTGTTTTAACCCTTTAGAATACCGAACCCATTGTACCAGACTATAATCTAATGGCGCATAATTGCATGTCCCATTCATTTGTGAGATTGGTTAATTTTCATTTTCACAGGTGATTGCATATCATTGGATTACAAACCCAAAAAAAAATAGATTTTTCTTCGTGCAAATAATGGACATGATCTAGGTAAATCGAAATGATAAAAAATAACCTTTCGTTTACTTTTGTTAGTAAGGAAATTTGTAATAAATGATCAGGTAAACCTTAGGAAGCTAGGCTATTTTTTCTGGGTCACGTTACATAATATAATAAACTTTGAAAAAAAAAAACAATAATTTTAAAAGTTCAATAAACAAATTATGAACAACTAAAGTGTCCTCTATGTGCTAACAGTTAGGTTATTATGATTAGGATAATCCATAGGTAATCCATACATTGTATTCTTTCGTTTTTAATTGGTTGTTTTGTTTTTTAGTATGTTTGATAGAATGATATAATATTAAGAATATTATTAGCATAAAAAGATATCCCAATCTATGCAACTGATGGTAATTACTCAATCATATTTCATCCGGTTAAACATGTTTTCTAATATTTTTCATATTTTAGGCTTGAGATATCTAATTCACATTACATCTTCCAGATTTGCACTTCCTTAAGAAAATCAAGAAAATTGAAAACTTTTTCAGAAAAAATTCCACTACCAAACCATTTAACTTGATCAAACACATGAACCGATATGACCTATCATATTGGAAACAGATATTATTCCATTTTGAATTACTACATACCACACATTAATAAAGGGTGCATTTTGGCACCACGAAGAAGAGACACCATTGACCAAATGTTCAATTAACATATACCAAACATCTTCAATTACTTGAATCCTATATTGTTGTACATTACCATATTCCTGTAACAAACAAATAAATAAACTTATATATTCCCTTTTTTTCTTCAAAAATATTACAAATCTCACCCATTTCCAAATTAAGCTCATTCGCAAGGGATGAAAGTTACTGGGAGTAGGGACACCATTGACCAAATGACAGATTTACAACTCCTTATCTTTATTTAATCTAATTTCCTGTTCAAGCATTTGCATCCACCCGAAACTTGTACTTTGCACACATGTGTCCCATTCTTTATCACCTGGCCACCTACGATTAACTACTCTTTAGAATTTGGTTATCTATAAAAAAGTAAAAAGGTAAAATCATACCTCATAAACTAACCATGTTCGCCTTTTTACGATTTGAAGCATTATATCCACATCTGCAATTTAAGTCATCACATTAGTAAAAACTCCATTATAGCGTTTCATCAGACACTTCATGTCCATGCTAAAAAGTAGTAGTAGAACGGAATATTATGTACACAAGTGCTATATAAACCTATGTAATTAAGCAAACATGTGAGATAATTATGATATGATGAAGAAAATACCAATCAATGATGAAATCTTAGTTAAAAAGGCTCCATCTATCGATAAAAACACTTTAAAATCAAGCATTTTTGCAGTTGCTATCTGTTTTTCATAACCACGAACATGTATGCAACATTCTTGAAAAAAATTACAAGCGTAAAAAGAGACATAATCTTTCGATGGACCAATGTGATCCCCCGATCCTGCAGGTACCATCATCTAACTTTATTGTGCCCCTTAAAGAATATCTTTGAAGTAATACAGCTTTATTACAAGAAAACTTGATAACCATAAATAACATAAAATACTATTGCAATAACTTATGCTACACTCAGTTTTATATATTTAAAATAGAATCTACTTTATGTTGTCCCTTACTCCTTTTGTCATACATGAATACATAAGCTTTAAGCTTACTGACTAGTTATGGTTTTGATTATTTAGCATATAAACATTAAATGCAAGAATAATAATTTATGCATTCTTTTTTAAACATACTTTAAAACATTCATTTGAGATCTCATAGCTACATGTAACTAGGCCGAACTGCTGAGAGGTTAGCTAGCCTCGGATCCATATAAACCTGTCCCATAAGGTCCATTTGCAAGACGACCCTTCATACAATACCCCATATGATGTGTATTTAAATGGCCAAACATAACATGTGTAAAACTTTCATGCTATCTTGATAATATACTAAAATATGACTTTAAAACAAACATTAAGCAATTAAGAATGGCAAAGTAGTATATAAATATAGCATGTATGCATCTCACTAAATCACATAAGTACTCACGTTGTTTTAGCTTAGCTTGCTTTAGAGTTTAAAACCTCTATAGTTCTAAAATCTCGAAGTTGCTATTTAGGATTTGAGAGTGTTTACTGTTTTGGAATTAAGAATAATGCTAAACATTGCTTGCCATTTGTAGGAGATATAGGTTCATTAATGTTAGGAAATAAGCGCAAAACAAGAAAAACTAAAAGCACACAAGACATAGTATTTGTGTGGCTCAATTAAGGTGACCTATGTCCACGGGAAGAAGGGGAGTATTCTTTATTTATGAACTCTCACACAGAGGTTACAAGTACAATTCAATAGAGTTTTGTCTATCAATCTAGAATACAAGACTCTTCAATTGATTAGTAGGCATATCTATTTATAGTGAAGGAATCAGACCTAAAACCTAATGGGCCACACTCCTGGCCTATAAGCCCATGAATGGAATCAACCAATCACAATCTGCCATGTAGTGGCTTCTAGAAACTTCAACATCATGAGCATCGACCATGAGCATCATCGATAAGCATCGCCCATGAGCATTGTTAACGAGCATCTTCTGTGAGCATCGTCAATGAGCATCTTCCATGAGCATCTTCTATGAGCATCATTGATAAGCATCTTCCTTGAGCATCATAACAAAAGTAGTTCATCAAGGAACACATGTGGCACACCTTGATCATGGAGTGGTGCATCTACCTCCAAGGATAGCACATATTCATCATGGAGCATCACAAGGTGCTCTTTTCCCCTCGTAAGTGCTCCATACCCTCTTTTAGAAGATTCGTTCCTTTGTCACATTATTTATTCCATTAACATGATATTCATTCGTTTCTCAGATGATCTATTCCTTTGTTGCATGTTCCAAGTATCCCAAGTGCTCCATTAGGCTCCGAGTGCTCCAATAGAATCCAAGTGCTCTGTTGAACTCAAATGCTCCATGCAAATGCTCCAAATTCTCAAGTCACATTCAACAATCTCCACCTTGAGTTGAACATCCTCTGAAGTCCACCTTAAACAAGAACTCCTTCTTCCTTCCTTCCATTAAGACCTAAAGGGGATTACCACTTGCAAACATCAAACAAGTTTAAAGAAAGCTTGAACTTCTTTCTGGGCAACGTCGTTGTCACTATGTCTTCTGGATTCTCTTTGGCACCCGACTTTTTAATACATAACCTATCAATGACCAACCGCCAATGATCTTCGTATCACCAGATGACTTTCCTGGTTTGAGGATATCAATCCAACCAACTCCATATATGGTACATTAGCACCATACACTGGACAAAATTTTAGCGTTCCCTTCAAGTGTCGCAAGATCTATTTAACCACTTCCCAATTATCTTTCCCTTAATTCCTTAGAACCTCTAGAGAATTACCAACATGATTGTACTGATCATGATAGAATGACCGCAAGACTTTCTCAATGTAATAAGAAATGTATAACCATCTTTTTCTTTTATCCCTCTGAATCTCCATCCTTGCTATCTTCTTTTCAGCTCCTAAATAGATCATGACAAAAATCATTCTTCAAAAGCTTTATCAACAACTCAAGATACCTAACATCACCATCTATTATA